ATGACTATATTCATGATGTACTGTATGTCTCACTTGTATGCCGTCGAGCAATGAATGGTTGCCCTCATTGTCTTCGATGGTATAGTTCTCTCCCTTGACGTCAATCCAGGAATCGGCGTAATTCTCGCCGGACATACCGGTGCCGTCGAACACATTATTCTTGATTATACCACAACACGAGCCCTCTTTGATGTCGATCTCCTCCGCGGCCACATTTGGACCGATTCTGTTGTTCAGCACTTGGTTTCTGTCACTTTTGTCTGGCTTACCGCCCTCCCAGTTGCTCACCTGTTAGAGGGTACGAAAAGGCAGACATTTTGTCTTAGAAATAGGATATAATTTAGTATATTAATACTAGCACGCTTTAAAAATCAAGTGCTTAAAGCTCATTGCTAAATAAATTAGTTTATTTGTATTCAAAACCAATACAAACCGCTGATCCAATATAAACTCCTTCACCAAACCCAGGACTTCCGAGGCCTGTGTCGTGAATGTATGACTTTTGCAGAATATTATCGGCGCTATTCAATCGGAAATGGATGCCCTCTTGTTTAATATCATGAACCTCCAGGTCCTCCAATATGTTATGATTAGCACCATCTAACATAATACCCTTATTGCTGTCAACAACTGTAAAACCTTTGACTATCCAATAGTTGGCCTGAAGCCAAAAGCCATAGTTATATCCAGAGACGACTGCTTTCTTAGAGCCGGTCAATGTGATAGGCTTTCCCTCCGTCCCGCTAATGTTAGCTATGAATTTGTTGTGATACTTGCCGTCCGCCAACTCTATGGTATCGCCGGGCGATACATCTTTCAGTGCCGCTAAAAACTCCTTATCCGTCGACACATTAATTATCTTACAATTAGTGTACAGAATAAAGCATAAAAATATTGCTATTTTAAACATTTTTAGGTAATTTAATAAACACTTTAGTAAAAAATATTATTTTAAATCTAATGAAATGTTATAATATGTATAAATATGTCTTTTATATATTTTATATTATCTAACTTTACTAGTAATCAAAGGTTTAATAATTAATCTTTAATTGTGTTTATGAAAACATCTGTTGAAATATATTGTTTGAGTTATTTTAGTGCAAAGGATTTGTTGTAATCATTAGTTTCACAATTTTTTAACTTTTATTTATATTCTTTAATAAAATGTTATTAAAATTTGTAATTTATATTTTTTAGACTATTAATACTAAACAGAATAATATTGAGGTTCAAATTAATTTTAAAACGTTTTATATTATAGAAAACTTAATACAGTAATTAAATTATTAAATAATAATAAATTTTATTTAAATTATTTATAAAATAATACTGTTATACGTCACAAAACAAGGAAACAATAGTATTATTTAAATGCAGTTAATTACACAATTAAATTGTATTATTAGTTTAATCATAAAGTACAGAATATTCTGTATCTATTCCTCAATTACATTTTTCTTAGACCCTTCGCAAACTTTACTGCTATCGTTGACACACTTTCCCCCTTTTCCCAATCCAGCACATTTATCATGAATAATCTTGTTTTCACACCCACCTACTTTGGCCTTTTCTACATAGTGAAGCTATTGGGGAAATGGATCAAAATCAGTGGTTTGTTATATAAATATTTTCCAAATTTATGTCTCACTTGTATGCCGTCGAGCAATGAATGGTTGCCCTCATTGTCTTCGATGGTATAGCCCTCTCCCTTAACATCAATCCAGGAATCGGCGTAATTCTCGCCGGACATACCGGTGCCGT